TATCAAGAGGAACCGTACAGAAATAGAACAAAACACCAACTTGAAGCTATAATAACTCTGTTTATATATATATATATATTTTAATTTTTTTATGAAATGAAGAACTGTTCCTATGTTAGGAGTTACCAGAACGATATCAAGAGGAACCGTACAGGGCCAACACTGAGGCACCCAAAAAGGAGACGCGGACGGACATTTCGGACCTTATTGAGTTTCATGAACATGTAGTATTAACGAACCTTTATTTCATAGCTCACTCAAGAACTACTTCGACAGTAAGATTTTTTTCTAGATTGAACATTCTTTGCGGTTCGTCGGGGCAGAAATTAGTTACACCAAATTGCAAGAAGGTTGTCATCGGAGAACCTATTTTGTACTGAAAGAAAAGCTTTTGTTATCTTCTGTTTTGGCTTTTTTATGTGAAATTCGTTATCTTAATACTGTTAACTAGCTTAACTTGTTTCAAACCGGTTTAAACAGCTTTCGAATGTGGGAGGAGACCTTCAGGCGCCCGTATTGTGGGTGGAGAAGAAGCAGTCCCAAATTCGTGGCCATGGCAATTGTCATTGCGTGTATACGGACGTCACAACTGCGGAGCCTCTCTCGTTGATCCTTACTGGGCTGTAACCGCTGGTCACTGTGTTAAAGGAAACTCAAACCCGCACGTTTACTCCGTTTTGGCAGGTAAGTTGTATAAATGTTTTTCAACCTCTTCTTTAAAAAACATTTGATCCAGCATAACGAGAGTCTAGTATCTCCTTTTAAGAAACTGAGTTAATCAATGCCTAATACTCCGGTTTGAAGATCTTATTTGTACAGTCTTAACCTCGAAACCATGTAATATATTCTTTTTATTCAGCAGAAATTCTATTATAATGCAAAAACTCTGTGTACAAAGAAGACAATAAAAATTTATACTTGATTTAAKTTAACCTTGCACAGAAGAGAACATTCGAAACTGGAGTATTTATCTAAACATTTCCCATGATTCTTAGGGGCACACTTCCGTTATAGCGGCGGCATAGAGTACAAGATCTCCAAGGTGATCCTACATCCTAACTACCATTCTAATATTATGAATGACATTGCCTTGCTGAAACTGTCAAGTCCAGCTGCATTAAACCAAAAAGTTGGGCTCATTTGTCTTCCAAGACAAGGGAATAGAGTTCCTAGAGGAAAGATGTGCTGGATGACAGGTGAGTACACAGGAATCCCGCTGTCATGTTGCGCGTTCACCAATGAGTGATATCATCCAATAATGAAGGATATCATGCTCAGTATTATCCAATAATGAAGGATATCATGCTCAATGTTATCCAATAATCAATGATATCATGCTTAGTATTATCCAATAATGAAGGATATCATGCTTAGTATTATCCAATAATGAAGGATATCATGCTCAATGTTATCCAATAAATAATGATATCATGGTCAATATTATCCAGTAATGAAGGATATCATGCTCAGTATTATCCAATAATGAAGGATATCATGCTCAATGTTATCCAATAATTAATGAT